ACATGCTCCAACATGAATGAACCTCAAAAACATTGTGCTCAGTAATAGAAGCCAGGTACTAAGACTAAATATTGTATAATTCCATTGATATATACTTTCCAGCAGAGGCAAATGTATGGAGTTAGAAAGCAGATCAGTGGTTATAAAGTTATTAAAGTTGATTTGCCTTATTTACAGGTGGTCTATGAATGTCTGCTGCTAATGTTCCCAGAGCTTCCCTGGTCACTTCTCTTCCTAAGATTTGTTTGTGCAACTCTTTCTGCAATTCTATTAGATACCTTAGTCACGCATGTTATATATTTTCTGTTTTGTTTATAGTAGCCACAGTCTGTTAAGATTTCTAAACATGCCTTAGTCACATACCTTCTCTAGGTTTGGTTGTGTAATTATTTCTTCCACTCCATGGAGTACCCTTGCCATCACTGTCTACATTTTCATTTCTGTTTAAGTTAGACAAAGTCATTTTTTAGTAATTAATCATTTAATTAATCATAATAAGTCATTTTTTTAATTAAAAAAAGCAATGCCAATGATAAGGTTCCAGAACCAACCCCCCAGAGACATCATGAATTGAGAGTTTTGGATCCTGAAAGAAAAAGGTCATGTGGCATAGGAGCAGCACAGGAGTTTCTTCTTCATTTCTGGAAGAATCCTACTCCGAAACACCACACACACACACATGTATGCATAGTTCTTACTCCTTTTCTGGTTCATTCTAGTACAACTTTTTAACCTTTCTCCCTGTCCTAAGACTATAAATCAGGACTCCTTCAAAGATACAGCTACTAATAGATCCTTCCTTTCTTAAAATTACTTCTAAATTATTCCCTACTGTCAAAAATTTCCTTTAGAATTACATAGAGTAGATTCATAGCTCATTCCACCCATTTGAAAGCAAAACAAGAAGGCTAAACAAAGTCAACAAGCCTTTTCTTTCAAATATAGTTCACACTTATCTGTATACCTTCTCACTCAAGCACTCTCTTTCTGTCTCTGTTGTCCCTGTAACTGCTTTCTCCAAAGTCACCTCCTGATTCTCAGTCCAGTAAGTATATAACATTTTAAATGTATATTTTTCTCATTTTTTCCTGTTAGTTTATTTATTGGCATTTAGTTTTCTTATTTGTGGTTTCTGGTTGGCTCTCATTGGCCTGAGCCTCCTTGTAAGGAGCCTTTTCTTTCTTCATTGATACTTTGTTCCAGTTTGTCTTATTATTTTGTTTTTGAAGGTGTTGGGTCAGTGCAGATGAAACCAAGAGGCCTGGTGATAAAGAAATAGCTGCAGATTGGAGCCATGAAAATGATTACAGAGTTTGGAGACAGAACATAGCATGGAGGTTGGAATTCTAAAATGTATCTCAGAGATCCGGGTTGGAACAGTCTGACATTGGCCACAGTGGCCACAGGCTCCGAAATACCCCTCCAAGGGTTGGGAAGTTTCATTGAGTGATTTACAGAGTGATACTGTTACCTCCTCTTCTCAAAAATGGTTTATGTAGCTTTTGTCTCAATAGCCACATTGTATCTATCAATGGGCATAATTTATACCCGATAGTGTCATCTTTGTAGAATTGGACACTTTCACCATTCTTTTTTTTTTTTTTTTCTTACTCAATGCAGAGTGAGCATTCTTTTCTCCCATTTCTCACTTTTTCCATATTAAAACTTTTTCCTTCTTTAAATGTTGTGACTATTCTCCCTCTTTGTTTTTCTCCTGGCTTGATATTGTTTGTTTTGGGCTGTTTGTTATATTTGTCCCTGTAATGTTGCCCACTGTACTGTTGCTACCAGTGTTCCTGTCATAGCTGTATCTACTCCCAATCTTAAATCACGGATATATCTTAGTTCTAGACATTTTCCCTAAATTTCATTTCAGAAAATTGTCCATAATGGATCTTAATATTTTCTGCTCCTTCCTCACAAAGCTGCCCTTCCTTCATATTTTTGAACCTAAATTATGGCATTGTTTACCCAATTCCCCAAGCCAGAAATCTAAACTCCTCCTCTGCTGTATTATCAACAGCTTACTAAGTATGCTGAGCATATTGCTTTTACAACCTTCTAAACCAGTGGTTCTTAACCTGGGGTTTGTAGACCACCAGCAGCAGCTCAGCTGGGAACTTGATAGAAATTTAAAATTTCAGGCCCCACTTCAGACTCTCTGGGGATGTGGGATGTGGCCAGCAATCTGCCTTTTTCTTTTTTTTTTAACAAGACAGGATCTTGCTCTGTCACCCAGGCTGGAGAGCAGTTCTGTAATCATAGCTCACTGTAACCTTAAACTCCTGGGCTGAAGCCATCCTCCCACCTCAGCCTCCCGAGCAGCTAGGACTGCAGGCACATGTCACCATACCTGGCTAATCTTTTATTTTTTGGTAGAGATGGGAACTCTATGTTGCTGAGGCTGGTCTCCTGGCCTCAAGCCATCCTTCTGATTTGGCCTCCCAAAATGGTGGGTTTACAGGGATGAGCCTCCATGCCTGGTTGTCATCTGCTTTAAGATGCCCACAGGTGATTTTGACACACACTAAAGTCTGAGAACAACTGTTCCAAACTAGTTGCTATTAATCATAGGGATCCACGTGTGGGCTTCAGGAGGCCCCAGAAGTACTGGTAATTGAAACTAAAACTAAGTGTATGTTCATATATATTTTTCTGAGTGGATAGCTTTGATTCCTTTTATCTTCAAATGGGTTCAATGATTGCCAACTTGGGACTGTTCCTTGCTTTCCATTATTACTGCCTCTTACTTTGTTCAGGACCTCCTTATAGCTTATCTAGATTGCAAATGGTTCCTTTGACTCTAGTTTCCATCCTTTTGTGTGTGTGTGTGTTGTGTGTGTGTGTTTACTGAGTCTCCACCCTTTTCAGTGTATCTCCATGTTTGATCATAGTCACTGTTCTGTTTCAAGGTCTTCAATAGCTCCCAAAAACTTATGATAAAGTAACCTCTTAACATGACAAACAATACATACCCTTCATCATTATTCTTTTGCATGCATCTCTAGTCATCTGCAACCTTCAGTACAGCAATAATAAACTTTAAGGATTCTGGACCTCACTTGGGCTCTCTTATACCTCCCTAGTTTTGTATATTGTATATGCTCAGTGTGTAGAACTGTGTATGTAGAATATATATTTGTTCAAGATTCAGCTCAAGCAACATCTCTTCTGAGAAGTCTTTCATTAGAATTAAGTGGCCCTCTTATGTGCTCCCAATTCCCCTGTGTTTATCCCTATGGTAATAGTTCTCAAACATTTTGGTCTTAGGATACCTTTACACTCTTAAGAATAATTGAAGACCCTAAAAAAATCTTTTAATTTATGGAACATCTATCCATATTTACCATATTAGAAATTAAGCCTGAGAAATTTGATATTTTGAAACTCATTAAAAATAACAATTATAAGCCCACTATGTGTTAACACAAATGATGTATTTTTATGATAAAATGTTTTCCAAAATAATTGGTGATCAGAGTGGCATTGTTTCACATTTTCAAACCTCTTTACTGTTTGGCTTAATAGAAGACAGATTCTCATATCTCTTCCTGTATTCAACATGTTGTGATATGTTTTGGTTGAAATATATGAAGAAAATCTGATATTACACATATCAGTTGGAAAATGAAAAACTATTTTCATAGCCTTTTGAGATAATTGGAGATATTCTTCTTGGATACTACACCAAACTTGTCATGTGGTAATTTCTTTGAATGCAGTTGGAATGTGGACTGAATCTGGAACCACATCAATTCACTTATTGAAATTCATTAGTCTATTTTGCATGTGCAAGAATCTTTTTAATTTTGTAATAGCACTCATTGGTTATTTGGAAAATAGTTGTTCATTGAGTTGTAGACATTATCCAAATGTTGACATATTTATATAAGGTCAAAAATACATTTGTTATTATAATATCAGTGGTGATTTTAGCAGAAAAGTCTTTAAGTACTGAAGGGCTGTTAAGTTTAAGGTAACAAATACAAATTTAGCAAAATATTTGTATTTTTGCATAAAAACTCAATGACAAGTGATTTTACCGGAGAGAACTATCCTACTGGGACATGCAATAAGCAGTAGTTTCTATTTTTTTCACACATTTGAAAGATGTGCATGCTAGGGTGAAGATTTGATAAAATTAGTATAATTTTTACTCCTTTGTCAAAGACATTCTTTAAGTGAAACTGACTTATTTTAAAATCTTCAGTTTTGTACGCTGTGAGTGGAATGAGGTGAAGAATACAAAATACGAGTACAGTTTGGGCCACTGCCTTGATTCCCATTAAGGTGTAAGCAATTTAATCTTTTACACCATTAGTGAAAATGTTAGCAAAGTGAAAAAAGGTCAACAAGCTCTTAGTAATATGAAAATCATTTTGACCTTGCCCACCCACTGAAAAGGTCTCAGGTCTGGGGTCCCTCAGGGATTTGCGGAGGGCATTTTGGGGATAGCTGCCCTAGCCTCACATACCTTGCCTCTCGTTAGGTTTCAAGTTCTACGTGGACCGCCTGTAACTGTGTTTTATGTGCCCTTGTCTAATAGCGTCTGGGACATTACACTCAATAAATATTAATACCTATGGAACCAGCGAAAAAATTACATAGTCTTCCTATCTCCTTCCTTAATTGCATGTGAACCTACACGTTTTGTATAATAAAATTTTTAAGTTTTTCGCAATTAGGACGCCTGCCAATTTTTAAATCTAGTTTGGGTGGGGGAAGCCTGTATACAATAATGACGCACTAGAGTTTGGTCAAGTGCTCATCTGTGATGAGGGGAGTCATTCCTCCTTTCCAGCCGCGCGCCAGGCCAGGCCGCTGGGTTTCCCAGTCGGCTCTAGTAAGACTGGAAAGAGCTGAGTCTCCCACGTTCATAGGAGCACAAGAATTTGATCGAGTTTTAGGGGAAATAAAAACCTTGGCGGAGGGAAAGAGCAGCTGCAAACACCCCAGAGGCCCCCAGAGACTTGAGGCCGCAGCCACGCGAGGCCGCAGCCGCGCGAGACCGGCCGCGTTGCCGGGGCGACGCTTCCGGCCGGCGCGCGCAACCCCGGGAGCAGTGGAGTTGTGAAATGGGCGGCTAGACATGCCCGGCGCTGTGCATTCGCCAGCGGGAGCGCGCTCGCGGCCGCGCGTTCTCCGCTTTCCCGGCTCCGTCGCTGACGCGTCGTAGACGTTGGGGAGCGGGAAGGCAGCGACAGCGGGATCAGAATGAACAGCGCCGGCGGCTTCGGGTTGGGCTTAGGCTTCGGCCTCACCCCTACGGCGGTGATTCAGGTGACGAATCTGTCATCGGCGGTGACCAGCGAGCAGATGCGGACGCTTTTTTCCTTCCTAGGAGAAATCGAGGAGCTGCGGCTCTATCCCCCGGAGTAAGTGCTGGAGCTCGGCTGGGGGAGGGGCGCGAGCGCCATAGAGACCTCGGGAACCGAGGCGTGGGGGAGAGCGCGGACGCGGGCGCGCGGTGCCTGTCACATGACCGCCGAGGCTTACCTTGGTGCCCATATTTGATAAGGGCACTGGGGGCCCCGCGGCCTGCTCTCATTATGAGTCAGATTTGGGGCTTAACCTTTGCATCGAGCCCTTACAAAAGATTTAGAGCGGTTGCCTTTTCCACGCCTCTGGGACTTGTGGTCGCGGCCAGGTCTTCGAATTGAGTGCCCCCCTCTCCATTTTTCCCCCAACTTAAGATGGCCGCAGGTGGGCCCGGAGTAGTCTTCATGGCAAACGCCTGTTAGCATTTTTGCGCTCTGAAATCGCAGGAACCGCGTCTGAACTACTGATCAGTTCTTAAGGCCGAAGTATCAGGCCGTTATTGCTGACGAGAAAGCCTGCGGCTGATGACAAGATAGGAGTGGGGCTGTATTTGTTACCCAGGGCAGTCTCTCAAATTTAGCATCTTGGTCTTAAAGATCATTGTCTATTTACCCTTTTGACGACAGATTAAATATTTCTCCCAGAAGGTCACACTGCCCCAGACCTTTCAGAAAAGGTGCAGCATTATCCTTGCTTTGTACTTTTTAAAGTCCAGATCTTGGCTGGCATTAACATCACAGCTCGTGGCCACTTCCCAAGTAGTGTATTTTGAGGTAGTACGATTTTCCCTTGTACAATGTTATCTACTCAGAAAACTTGTAAGGGGTTTGGGTGTTGTTCATATTCTCACATGCATAAATATCCTTTTATTAAGATCTTAGAATCTTAAGATTCTCAGTTTTTTGTGCATTATGTGAAAATCCGTTGAAGGAAGAGGTAGTCGTTGCTCAAGATTTCTTTCTTTTTTAAAAAATTTGCATTTGATTTGACTTACTTGATAGTGATGCCTATAGACCTATTTTTCTTTAATTTTCTGTTTATAAGTTATAGCAGTGCTACTGTATAGATATATGTAAGTTATTTGGATATTTAAATTTGGCCTTTTACATTTTTCTTTTCTACTTTTGATTTTGAAATATTTCATGCATGCAGAAAAGTCGAAAGATAACGTAGAACACCCATCTTGTCCTTCACGTGCATTTGTCCATTTTTTGCTACAGTTGATTATTAAAATTTCCTGTTATTCTAATAAAGCTTTTTTTCTTTTGATCGAGTATATAATTAATTATACTATCTCCTTTTAAAGCTCCAAGTAATCCTTTTAGTTATCTCCTGTAATCCAGAACAGCTCCCATCACCTTTTAAAAATCTTTCATAACGGCGACATTTTGCCATATAGTTGTTTTTTTCTTGTATCATGACCCATAATTTGAGTTTATATAAATTGTTTCTTCATGATGAGATTCAAGTAATACGTTTTTTGGCAAGAATACTGCATACCTGCATGCACATATATTGCGATTGATTAGCCATGGCATTGTAGCTTTCAGTATCTTATTTAACTTTTGAAAATGTTTTCAGCCATCTTTATTTAAGTACTCAGAACATTTCTTTTTTTCTTTCTTTTTTTTGAGACGGAGTCTCACTCTGTTGCCTGGGCTAGAGTGCCATGGCATCAGCCTAGCTCACAGCAACCTCAAACTCCTGGGCTCAAGTGATTCTCCTGCCTCAGCCTTCTGAATAGTTGGTACTACAGGTGCATGCCACCACGCCTGGCTAATTTTTCTATTTTTTAGTAGAGATGGGAGGCTTACTCTTGCTCTGGCTGGTCTGGGACTCCTGACCTCAAGCAGTCCTCCCGCTTTGGCCTCCCAGAGTGCTAGGATTACAGGTGGGAGCCACCGGGCCTGGCTGGAACATTTCTTGATTGAGAAGTATTTGGAGGAGTGCTGGTATCCTGCAAGAATTGGAATCACACAGTAAAATATATTGTATGTGAGCCTCTGTAAAGTAACCAGGTTGTGGTAGTAAGGTATCATGTAGGTAGAAAAAATATATCAGAATATTAATTGCTGACATACTAATATGGTTGACACCTGGGTTTGGGTGACAATATGCTGCCAGTTATTAACTGACACTTAGTAATGGGCTATTTTTTTTTTTTTTGAATCAAGAGTTACTGGTATTTAAATGTGAAAGAGAATAAGAAGCTTTTTACTTAAACATGTGGAACATTAAAGTGGAGTTAGTCACAAATTGTAATACATTTAGCAAAATTGTAGCATAAATGTAACACACAAAGGACAGGGAAAATCCTTAACCAGTTTTTCCATAAGTGCAACGCTAGATCCCTCATTCTTGTTTTGCAGCAATATTGACATGCTTTATTAACAGATTCTCTGCTTTGTAATGAAGTTGTCATTACCTGTTCCTTACATTAAAGACTTGCTTGCAAATTGGGGCTTACATGGATAAAAACCGCAGTAGTAGTAGGTTTTATTGAAGATAGAGATAATTGTTTTTCAGTGTCACATAAACTATTTTATGATTGATCTTTAGAAGCTGAGCAGAAATTCAATTGTTTTAAAATTGGAAATATATTTCTTCAATAGAATATGAAAATAATTTCTCATTAAAATTTTATGATTTCTGTTGCAAATATGAAAATTTACATTTTAAATTTAATTCTTTTGGCATGAGGCAGTGATTAGTTTCATTTTAAATTTTAAACATTAGGAATTCATGTAAACATTCATCGTAAGCATTAAGAATTCTTATTTGTAATTTGTCATCCTTTTTTGTGCTGCCAGATAAGTATCCAGAATTACTATTTTAATTTTTTGCGCAATAAATGAATCGCATAGCTGATGAAAACCTTTTTACACAAGTAAGAAATCTGTTTTTTCAGTAATTTTTTCATTGAGGTATAACGTACATACAGAAAAGTGCCCGGAAATGTACAACTTGATGAATTTTTACAAAGTAAACATACCTGTGTAACCACACAGCAGGATTATCTGCACCCAGGAAGTTCCCTGTGTGTCCCTTCAAGTGACTAACCCCCAAGGGTAATCCTATCCTGATTTCTAACACCAGAGAATTTTGCCTGTGTTGATTTTTTTGCTTACTGGTTTCCTTCACTTCTCTGGTCTTCAAAGATTCTGAGAAAGAAAGATGAAATGTATCAACTATTTACTTATTTAAGTTGATTTAGTTAAAAAAACTAATATAACCAGTATAGCTACTTTATGGAAAATAGAGGAAAGGAATCAACACTTGTGATTCTACCACTGTATCAAAACCTTTCTCCATTTCCTAGTATTTCTCTCCAGTTCTTCTTATATACTTTTATTGTAATACATTGCAATCAAAGGAATCCTACACTGTGATTGTAACTCTTTTCACTTAACCTGTAATAAGCATTTTTCATATTGCTGTATTTTATTTATAGTAATATTTAAAAACTAATATATTCTAAGTGTGTTGTGCTTTGTTGGATATTTTGGTTGCTTTTTTTTTTTTTTTGGTATTACAAATCAGTCGATTTTAGCTAGAAGAAATGTGTATTTATGATTGCTATGATTGGAAGGCCTACTGGCATTTAGTGGGTGGCAGCAATTCATAAGAAAATCTTGTACAAGGAGGAATTGTGCTACCAAAGGACCATTGAAGCCCTGTTATAAATAAAGTGTCGATTAATATTTTTGTCCTAGAACTATATACTTTGCTCATGTTTTGTATTATATCTGTTTTGGAATAGATCCCCTAAAGGATGTATACTAATGTAATAATAAAATACTGGACATTTTATTACCACATTGACTTTTAAAATATTGTACAGGACCATCACCCTGTTTAATGGAAAGCAAAATAACTTGTGAGGGCCCAGGAAATTTAAGTGATGCTCAAAAAGTTGGTTCTTTGATTTCTGCATTTACAACTCAGAAAAAAATTCTAATTTTTTTGAAAAATGGTAAGATTTTATATTTAAAAAAATTTGAGTCAATAAATGAGGTCAAACTAAAGTCTACTAAATTTGAATACTGCTACCTTCTATAGATGTATACATTTAGAGCAAATGGAATATGTAACCCCCTTTTAAAAATTAAAACTGTAGATCAAAGTTACATTTTTAAATGATTAATTTAAAAAGTAAATCTATTTGGTAGTTTAGATATACTGAAGAGGAGGATTTAAATATAAGATTTGGAAACATACTGATTTATAAGTAAGTACATATTTGTTTGCTGGGCTGTTCATCATCTGTATGTAGGCTTGCCACTGTATCATATTTTATTTAGTCCATAATGTTAAAAAAAAAAAAGTATTAAGGCTGGGTGTGGTGGCTCATGACTGTAATCCTAGCACTCTGGGAGGCTGAGGCAGGAGGATCACTAGAGCTCAGGAGTTTGAGACCAGCAAGAGCAAGACCTCATCTCTACTAAAAATAGAAAAATTAGCTGGGCATGGTGGAGCTCCTGTGTGTAGTCCAGCTGCTCAGGGGCTGAGGCAGGAAGATCGCTTGAGCTCAGGAGTTTGAGGTTGCAGTGAGCTATGACAACGCCACTGCACTCTGTCTCAAAAAAAAAAAAAAAAGTGTTAGTACCTCTCCTGAAAAGCCCAAATATTTTTATAAAGGAAATATAAATTAGCCTTTCTTATTTTAAGGGAGGTACTTGGAGATGAAGATTAAGAAAATTGCTTAAAGCATTGGGGTAGTCATACGTACTACCCACACTTCCATTATGCCGTTCAGAATAGACCAACGTTTTTTAACCAGTTTCCAGGCTTTTCAAATCTTGGTGACCTGTCTATTTATATGTAGTTGCTTTACAAACTAGCTTGTAGTTCTTTCACAAAAGATGGCTTGTCAGGTTCTTGAAGATTTCAGGGCTAAAAGAGTATTCCTATTGCAATTGATAGGGCTTTAGAAGGTCAGTGTAATCCTAAACTTTTTTGGTTGCAAAAGTCAGAAAAAGTGTTACCCAGTCTAGTTCAAGAATAGATATTATTTCTTAAAAAGAGACTTCATTAAATTGAAAAATGGAGATTGTAGTACAGCCAGGCCTCCTGGGAACTAGGACTGGGAACCAGAAAGATACAGCAATCAAGGTCTCTTTTGCTCTCAAGAGTATTATCAGTTCAGTTTGTTTCTGTGTATCTGGCCCAAGGCGATTCTAAGTAACTTTCCAGCCCAGTAGTGAGAATCTGATTGTTCCAAGCTCATTTGGTTAATGCCTGACTACTCAAATTGTAGGTTGCTGGTCAGCCAGTGAAACGGGCCCTTGTGACAGGTGGCCAATCAGTTGTGGCTAGAGAAATTTACAAAGATCTGTTGAAGATTTAACATAAGGAAACTGTGATAAGGCCTGTGTTGAAGTTTTACAGAATGTCTTGGTAGCACATGTAGGAGGGGTACCTAATCATTGTGGTATTTTTTTTTTTTATCACTGTGGTATTTTAAGATGGCTTACTCAACCTTGGAAACCTGTGCCTTGAGGAAAAGTGGAATTACCATTCAAAAAGGGAGTTAGAGGACATCACAGCCAAATGGAACAGCTTGTAGAAGACCCAGATGTTCATCATGTGTTCTCAGAACCACAAGTATTTGTATGCCTGGATTTTTGGGTGCATTTAGATGATGAAGCAAGAACAGAAGATTGCCCTTGAGGAAATTTAAGCTATGAAATGACATGATGAAATTTAGAGTTCAGAACACACTGGGAGCTTTTGTGGAAGACCATTAATAAGGGGCGGAGGTTGGGTAGAGTGTGGGAGGTTAGGAGCCACTGTAGTAATCCAGATGAGAAATGATGAGGGCCTGAATTAAGGCACTGATAGTGAAAATGATGAAATTAATTGATTCATTAATTAATACTTAATGTGATAAATACTTAGGAGGTACTCTTAGCAGGATTTATGGACCTGTTGGATAAGGGGTACAAAAAGGTCTAGAATGGTTTATCAGTAGGATAGGTAGAGTTTTGGAAACAACCCCACATGTCAATAGTTTGACAAAACAGATTATTTCTTACACTAAATTGGTAGAAGTGGGAACTCTGCTCATTGTGGTCACTCTAGGGTGAAGCTGATGAATCAGCCACTCATCTTTTGAATGTTGATGGTCACTGTGGCAGAGGAAAAGAGCCAAGCAATTGCTCTTCAAGCATCTTCAGAATAATGATGCATTAGTTCTGCTCATATTTAATTGGTTAAAGGAAAGTTATATGGCCACACCTAACTTAAAGGAACAGAAAAATAGAATTTTACCATGAACTTTTAGAAGGAGCTTTGGAAATATTTGGTAAACAGCACTAATGACTATATGACGCTAGTGACTCCCAGATTTAAGGCTTGAGTAATTCTATGACATCTTTCACTGAGATATGAAATAAAAAGGGCAGGATTGGTAAGGAAAGAGGGTAATGAATGTATTCTGTACTTAATGAGTTAAAAGTGGACCCTGGTAATCATCAAAGTGTAGTACTCCAGCAGGCACTTGGATCTGGGGGTCTAGAGCTCACCAGAGGCTTAATAAATTGGAGATTTGATGATGTAAGTTGGCGAGTTAAGTCTGAATGAGATCTGTTTACCTCAGCGATAACACATAAAATGCTTTGACTTAGATCTTGGAATGGTTAAGGGGAGATTTTTGTGAGAGCTGATATGAATTGGGTGGATTCATAGGATTGGGTGGCCTTAGGCAGAAATGAGTTGAGTTGGGTGTGAAAAAGATAGAGATCTTTTTTACCAACTTTAATTAATTAACCTTACTAATTATGTTAATGATGTAAATAGTTCCAAGTTCTAAATACAAATACATTTTATCATCACAGTGTTTGATTAATAGCATAAATATATATAAATTTAACCATTATTAATGTTATTTTACATTGTTTTTAAAGATGGATTTGTTGCTATATGTGAAGGATTACAGAGAAAGATTTTTGAATTTTAAAAATGACTAGTATTTGTGGAATTGCTAACTCAACAGTATATCAAAATGATATTTAAATTCTTGATTAATTGAATAATTGTGGTTGCATGAGATTTGGAATTAGGTGATTAGATTTTAAATCTTAACTTTGCCATTTGCTTGTTCTGGGATTGTGGTCAACTTCCTTGACCTTATTTTGTAAACCAGAATAAATTAATATTATTACACAAGTCATATAAGATATTTTTCAAGCAATGTCTCTTATTTTTTTAAAGAGCGAAAAATCTTAATGTTTCAAATGATTGTATGTTTATGTTATAGATTAGATATATATTTAGTTTGGGTCTTTTTTTTTGCTAAAGACAATTATAGACTTTAATGAAAAGTAATTATGGATAGGTTGACAAAATGATTATCTATGAAGATAGTATATTTTGGAGTCTAACAAGATGGATTCATATTAGGAAAAGTTCTTTTCATTTCATTTGTGCTGTGTCTGGTTCCTTTTTACCATAGGCCTAGATTGAACTGAATCAAGTAGGACTAGAGTCTATGCTGTTTTGCATATTAGTATGTAAAATTTTGTTTGTAAAATCTTTTGTCTGAAAAATTACATTGTCCAGCTTAAAGCAGTCTGGTATAGGCAAAAGACCTTAACTTTAAGTCCATATTATCTGATTGTTTCTAGGACTGTTGTGAAGTTTTTAGTAATTTAAATGCTGGAGAATCACATTTAGGAAGGGTTGGAGCAGTTATAAAATTTGAAGTTTTGGGCTGGGTGTGGTGGCTCACGCCTGTAATCCTAGAACTCTGGGAGGCAGAGGTGGAGGACTGCTCAAGGTCAGGAGTTCAAAACCAGCCTGAGCAAGAGTGAGACTCCTTCTCTACTAAAAATAGAAAGAAATTAATTGGCCAACTAAAAATATATAGAAAAAATTAGCCGGGCATGGTGGCGCATGCCTGTAGTCCCAGCTACTCGGGAGGCTGAGGCAGAAGGATCTACTGAGCCCAGGAGATTGAGGTTGCTGTGAGCTAGGCTGATGCCACGGCACTCTAGCCAAGGCAACAGAGTGAGACTCTGTTTCAAAAAAAAAAAAAAATTTGAAGTTTTGAGGACTGGAGCTTTTATAGAGATTTTGACTACTTATGATACACTGGTTGAACATCTTTGGGTTAAATTGGCCGTTACACGTTTCACTCAGATTAAAGACAGATTAATTTTGAGTTTCAAGTTTTACAAATAAAGTTGTAGGCCTGCCTACATTGCCTTCTGTCTTGGCAGACAAGTCACCATCAAATGACTAAGTTTTGCTATTTTATGTCTTAATAATCCATAGCAACAAAAATTTCTTAATTGATTATGTAAAAATTAAGAAAGAAATTTTAAATGAAAATGACAAAACCAAGCAAATGTTTATTAGTCCAATTGTTTTTCTTTTTATCTTGCAGCAACGCACCTCTTGCTTTTTCCTCCAAAGTATGTTATGTTAAGTTTCGTGACCCATCAAGTGTTGGCGTGGCCCAGCATCTAACTAACACGGTTTTTATTGACAGAGCTCTGATAGTTGTTCCTTGTGCAGAAGGTTGGTATCTCTCATGTTTTTTCTCCATTGTTTTAATCTTTGTCCTGTTACTGCCTTTGGCTTTCTTAGAAATTGGCAAGTAGACAGTATTCGTGTGTGTGTGTCTGCGTGTGTGTGTGTGTGTGTGTGTGTGTGTGTGTGTGAGAGAGGGAGGGAGGGAGAGAAGAAGCAAGAATGAAATTTGGAGAAGGAAAAAATTTTTACCTAATAGTAAATTATATTAAAATGTTTAATTTATGGCTTATGTTATGTTTGAGATTTTACAACTTAAAATTTAAAAAGTTCATAAATTATTTGGCTTCTCTGGTTTGCTTTGGCTTTCTGTAGTCAATTTGCAGAATATAAAGAAATCTTTCTAAAATTATAAAAATAGTAAGTTGATATGGGAAATTATTTTAAAGCATAAATAAGTAAGCATTTACTCCATGTGTTCAGTATTAATACTATTACAAATTAAAACAGTGCACACATTTTGCCAAACTGAGGTTAAATGATATTTATAAGAAAAATATTTGTAATTTATACTTTCAAGGACTCTTTTAAGGTAATTACCTTAATTGTTACCGTGAGACCATTATTTTATACTCAGTGTAATTGTTTACTGTAAAACTGGAACTTACTTTTTTCTTTTATTGGCTTTTTTGGGGGGGAGGGTAAAAAAAAAAAAGCAATTTTCTAGAGTCTCCATCAAGGAGATAGTTGTTGAAGATAAGAACAAAAAGATCTTACAGTTACTTGTTAAATTTTATGACTTAAGCTGCTTTAAGAACTAATTATTACTAATAATAATTCTTTAGTAACTTCTGTTTACAGAGCCACTCATATAATAAGATGTGCTGAATTTTGACAGTTCTGGTGTGTAATTAACTTTTATTCAGAGTACTGACTGGCATGTGTACATGGATTTTAGAATTGGGTTATTGTAAATTTAAATGTCCTTAAAATAGATTTTCTCTGATGGATGTTGGTAACTGTTTTATAGTATACAAGTTTACCTAAAACAGTTTAATGGGATTTTTAAAACCTTCTTTTAGTGCCCAGGTCAACATTAAAATATTTTAATGGATAATAAGCAGTTTACTACACTTACAGAGTTTATGCTCATTTCAAAATTCCTATTCTGGGATGTCAAAAACATTACAGTCAATTACAGTGAGTTCCAGGCTAGTATTTTTGAAGTCCCAGAATAGGACATTCAGGATTTTTTCAGATGAATTTGAAAGTATGTTTCCCGTGATTTGGGTTAAAGTGATTAGAGAAAATAAAAATGGATTAAAGTTGATTATTTGCTAAATAAATTCCTGTCTGCTGATCTATAAGGGTACAGTGAGCCCAAAATTGGAGAGTAAGATGGGAAAGGAGCTATTTAATTGTATAATTCTACATACTTTGTACTGAAATTTCATACCAAGAAACTGCATGAGAAAAAAGAAATCAGGTAGAAGGTTTATTAAACTGGAAATTTAATTATATCAGAAAATTATATCACCAACAGCACAAGGTCTGTTATGTTAGGTCATACTGAATTGGAAGGAAGGATTTAACACTGTTGCTTGGTTGGGACCTTGCTATATTCCCATAGAATCTTTCATAGATCTGAGAAGCCCTGACTGATCTATGACTATGGACATCTAAAGGTCCCTTTCCTTGTTTGTTTTACTAGATAGGGATGAATACATGCACATTTGGACATTGCTTTTTGATAGTTTTAATATTACCATTTTGATACAAAGTTTTACTATTTTTGAACATGAAAATTTAAGCATACATTTATTGCAATTTAGTTTTAAGTCAGTATTTTAGAATACTAACCTATAAAATAATCGGAATTAGCAAAACAAATCAGATACATATTTTTTCATTGGTTACAATAAATACAACAAAGTTGTATTTAATACATACAACTCGTGTATATATGGAATTTATGAAACCTGAAGAATTTTTTCAGTCTGATTATGCAATGCAAGCAAAGAATGCGTTATTTTACTAGAAATAGCAGAGTGATTTTGAAATAACCAAAGAAAAGTGTTCCAGTGGAGTAGAGTAAGTTCTGTAAGAGGAGATGTATGTACTATGGTGCTGTAAGCAGTCTTCTGTTCACTTCACTGACTGCATCTTTTCCTTGATGTTATACAAACAGCATCATGACATAAATAAGAAGAACCTTAGAAAAAAATTTAAGTTTTTTCAGTTTCTTTGTTTGCTGTTTTTTAGTGCAGACATAAACGTGTGAAGATCATAAGCTGTAAAAGTAATGTTTGATGTGTAATAGGTTCATGCATATTAAGCATTAACTATTAATAAACCATACCATTTCAAAATAAAATATACATTCATTATACTTGTCCAAATATGACCTCTTTTTGTTGTTGCGTGCACTTCAGATTTCTTTTTATAAATGTTAACACTTGGAAAAAGATAAGGTCAAACATAACAAGGTGTCAGCCTAATCATCAGTCATAACTTTATGTCCACATTTTCTGGTAGATGGATTTTGACTATTAATTTGGTTTTGTATGTTTTCTCTATGTGATATTTGTGCATTATTAGATGACTAGACTGGCCAAGGCAGACCTGTTACACTTGCCTGAGTTAGGCATTGTTTGCCATGCCACTAAACCTGCCGTCAAGTGAAACCTTCATTGGGGAAATGAGATCGAAGTCTGAACCGCAGAAGATGGACGCCCTGTCTCTGTTTTTTATTGTTTTACTTTAATTTCATTTCTTTTTCTTTATTTTGTCCCTTTTTTTTGTTTTTGTTTTTGTTTTTGTTTTGTTAAATCTCTTTCACTTTAACTTGTGAGCTGGTTTTCCAGTTTTTTGTAAATGGTATTCCATTAAGGGTTCATAACGTGTTGCAAATTATATTGGGAGATGATTAGCAGAGCTCAACCTTAAGATAAATTAAATTTTCATGCAATAAATTAGGATACAGTGTTGTGAAGCTCATTGTGAGTCTTGATTGGTGTTTATGAATGATCAGGTACATTTTGTTCTTGAAACATGACAACACTGATAATAATCTTAGGTAATTTTAGGAACACTTTCTGATCTCCAACATTTTTGTAGTTTTTTTCAAGGCTACATCGCTCATAAAACTGAAAGCTTCCAATTTTCATCCTTCCCCCAGGAATTTTAGGCATACAAAATCATCAAGGAAAATAAGGAAATTTGTTACTACAATCTGGGAGTTGAGAAGAGCCTTTCACTTTTCTGACTATTATTAATTATAGAACTTATTTCCTTGATTTATGAAGACTTTGTTGCCTATGTGGGGAATGGATATCTGAGAAACTGTTGATTATTTATTTGCGTGTGTGTTTTTGTTTGCTTGAATTTTTTGTTGAAAATTCTTCAAAGATTACCAGCTTCTAAATGGATTTTGAGATTAGGACTAACACTTTAATACCATGAGAGATGGTGTTTTCCTCTCAGTTGTCTTTGAGGAGTGCAGTTTGGGGAAAATGCTAAATGCTTATTTGTTTTATACTTTTATATACTCTGATAGTATTTGCAGGGTAAATTTGATCTTGGAAATTAAGCAACAACATTTTTACTTAAAGTACCTTTAATGGTAATTAGGATAAGACAAACATTATTGTGCTTACAGTTAGAGTTATAGATTTATAGTAGTTTATTACTGTTGTGAACGGCAGTGAGTGTATGACAACTTACTGATACTTTATTTAAGGCAGAAGTGAAAGACTTCATAAAACTAAATAATTAACTTTTGACCTGTGTTGAATACCCTTTTTGTTTGTGTAGTCTTTCTGCACTGCCTTCACTGGATAGATTTGCTTATTGATGAGTAATATTAAATTTGGAACATCACTAGATTGGAACTCTTGATTTTTTTTAAGGTACATACTTTAGGGTAGTGAAGCATAGGGTTACCACCTCAGGACCTCAGTTGATTTATCAAGAATATTAACGTTTTACAAACATAAAAAAAAATCCTATTTATAACAGATAAAACAGGTTTGATATCAATATAAATAGTATAGTATATATGTTGGTATACATAAATACATGTGTTAATACTAATAACTAATACATATAAAATAGATTTATTATTATTTGATGTTTTCATTAAGACTTACCTTTTGTTTATCTTTATGCATGTTAAGAAATCTGAAGGATTATATAGAAATGATAAAATAACTTTGCTTTTGAAATTAGTAAATTAAAGTAATATAAACTTAGATGCTGCAAAATTAGAAAATAGTAGGCATTTGCTAAAGCTAATAAAATGTAATTTTTAGTCTGTTCCTAAAATAAGGCATAGCATTATTTAAAGCAAGTTTTAAATTTCATCTTGAATTCCATCTATATTTAGAGATATATTCAGATAATATTGTTGAGAGAGTTATCTCTGCACATATGGTTGTTTTAAATATAGTTTTTACCACTGAAGCCTGGCATGGTGCTTTTGAAAATTTACTGCATATGCTGTATTTGAGTTTAGTGTGATTTAGTACACTGTGTGTTTTAAAACACTTTGGAAGAATTCATAATGGGAATGCATAGCCAATTACCACATGAATAGTTCTTCTAAATATATCCACGTGTCAATTATTTAAGATTTTTTTTTTTTTTTTTTTGGCTAAGAGGGTAAGGAAATGTGTGAAAGTTGCAGTCCTTATCAAAATTAATTGATTAGAATTCAGCAATTTAATATGGCAGATTGGACTTATTTCAGAGTAAGTTTTTTATTTTTTAGGTTATAGGGATTTTTTTCATTTGAGTGCCTAATATAATTTTGTTTTCTCTGTTTTTATTGCTGTTAGGCAGTTGAAATGTTTATAAGCAAGACATTTAGACATTAACTTCCTTTTTTCAGATAAGTGTGCATAAATTAGTTGTAAGAGTTAATATTTTAAGTTTCCTGTGACGAGGGAACTTTTTGTTGATGACTAAAAATTTTTAGCAATTTCCCAAGGCATATAGTTCTTTAGGCCTCTCTGATATTGGTGAGATGCCTTATTAATTGAATGGATGTAAGCTTCCTTTTAAATTGAAGCTGATTACATGAAGTAGGTTTTTGTTTTCTTCTATTTGAAATTGAATGGAATCTATTAGAAGGTTATTTAAATTGTTAGCATCACAAGAAGGTAGTTTAGTAACAGGATAGGGGCACTCATTAAGGAACAAATTTCAATTCGCACATATTTGTTTTTCTTTTTCTTTTTTTTTTGACTAATTTGGTTATTTGCCATTTCTGGGGATTAAACTTTAAAAAATGTTCTTCTTTTCTGTATCTGATGTTCTGTGTGCTATTAGTGATGCAGCCAACACGAACGGTTGTCATGTGTAACACAACTTTCGATCACCGCGAAAACACCGTCCTGGGAAAGCGTCCATGCTTGATATCGTTTGGTTCATGAACATTAAGTTTCCAGTACAGGTGACCCATAGCTCAAAGTGTTAAATAATTGTCTACATTATTCAGTTTTTAAAATAATATTCCATTAATGAGATTGTTAATCTTTGAAGTTTTGCTCACTTTTATTTTTCCTAGTAGAGCAGGATAAAAGGAAAGACTTAAGTTTTTATTTATTTCTTTATACGGATCTGATAGATAGATTCATTTATTATTATTATTTTTTAAGTGCAAGGGTAAAATGTAAAATCATAGTGTAAAGTTCTTGTGGTGTTTCTGCTTTCTTTAATGTTTGGAACTTGCCTCTGCAGGTAAAATCCCAGAGGAATCCAAAGCCCTCTCTTTATTGGCTCCTGCTCCAACCATGACAAGTCTGATGCCTGGTGCAGGATTGCTTCCCATACCAACCCCAAATCCCTTGACTACAGTAAGTACTATAAACTTTTTTATGAAAGGGGTGAAGTTCAACTGTATAATCAGTTGTATAAAGAGCTTAGAAAATTATTTCCATTTTGGATCTGTTATTTTTTTAAGTGGAGAGAATTCAAAATTGCTACTTAAATTCTTTTCCCACATTATCACTGACTTGAACTTTTGGAATTACTCTTCAAGTAATTGGGGATTCATTTAATTGAGAATTCAAATAGATTATTCTTTAGAAAATCAGCTATTGAAACAGTATTTTGGATAGTATGGTGAATTGGAAGATGTAGGTAACTATATTTCTCAGTTCATGAATACTAAATCCATTTTTAAAATGAAATAATCCACAACCTTGGTAATGGGAAAAAATATCTGAGAAGCATTTGTCTGATATTGAAAAAATACAACAAGGTGAGAAGAGAACATGGCCAAAATGTTTTCCCATTAATTATGCAGAATTAAATAGTAATTTAATGCCTCCCTTGTGATTTCCAAGTGGGATATTAAAAAAGGATATTACTGGGCTCTTGGTTTTTGTATAAAAAATTCTGGTCATTTATTTTAAAAGAAGGACCATTTTCTTGAGAAACAAACCTAAAACAAAATACTAAGCTCAGATTAATAGGAAGTTGAATATAGTTTTGTGGTGTTGGATAGGGAGTAAACTTAATAAACAAGCTTTGTGATTGTAGTTAATCCAAATTGTAAAAGTAGTTTCTGAAACTTTAAAGTGCAGAATTTTAGGTTTTTATGGAGGGCTTTTTAGACCATGAGAAGGAGTTGAAATTCTTAAGGTAATTAGAAGCCATTGTTGAGTTTTAAGCAGGAGTGTGGGCATGGCTTGGAGATTTGAAAAGATCAGACTGGCTGTTACAACAGCAGTAGTGACTGACATTAGTTTCATAAGCTTGTGTTTTCACCTTTAGGAAGTGTGCTGTTATTTAACAGTTGTTAAATCTTAGTAGTTTTGCAACATATTCACATGTATAGTCATCAGCGGTCAAAATTTTCTGAATAGCATAAGTAGAAATGAAAAAAGTGGTTGTGTTTTCTTTTTTTCCCCCTATGAAAAGGTCTTTTTGTTATTTCTGAAAATGTTTTCTGTTTTCAAATTCTTATATCTCTTCTGGCTTAAGTTAACATTAAAATTAATATTTTCCTTTACACTTGAACTAAAAACTGAATTTGGTAATAATGTTATGGAAAGACCATTCAAAGGTTTTTGTTCTTTCCTATCATAGTGTAAGTAGTATTTTAGATTTATTTTCTTAGGTGAACTTTGTTTCATTCTGTTGATGGTGGTACCTTGCCTTTACCACTGAATGGCTTTAGGCAAATCATTTAATTTCTTTAAGTCTTTTTATCTGTGAAATTGGCATAATATCTGTTTCAAGGTTGATAAGAGGATTAAGTTAATAACTCAGCAAAATTAGATGCTATGATAATTGTTAACTATTTGGAACTCACATAATCTGTGTTTTTGAATGGCCATGGTACAGTTGATCCTCATTTGTGAATTCTGTCATTCGTGAGTTCAGTTGCTACGTAAAATTTTTTAGGAATTCCCCACATCTTTGAAGTGCTTTTGTGGTCATTTGGGGACACAGAGTGATGAAAAATTTGAGTTACTTGATGTGCACTTTGCCAGATGAAGTCAAATTTTGTCTTCTTGTTTCAGTACTCATGCTGTAAACAAGTGTACTTTTCGCAATTTGTTTAGTGCCACACTTAAAATTTTTTGCTTTTTGTTGGTGATTTTGCCCCCAAGTGTAATGCTAAAATTCTCTGTGGTGTTCTTAAGTGCCGGAAGGCCATGATGTGCCTTGTGGAGAAAATACAAGTGTGTGAGCTAAGCTTTATTCAGGCATGACTGATAGTGCTGCTGGTTGTGAGTTCAGTGTTAACAAATTAGCAGTATATAACAAGGCGTCTTTAAACAGAAACGTACATAAAATAAGGTTATGTATTTATCAGTTGATGAAAATGTTGTGACCAGAGGCTGGCAGGAACTTCTCCCTGTGTTTTCCCTGTGAATAGTGGTTCAGTACCTCGAATAATGAGAATCAACTGTTTTCAGTGTTAAGTTGAAAATAGCTAAAATACCCAACAGTTAAGAAATATATTTCTAATTACACTTAAAACTAATGTGACTTCACTCTCTTAATAATTCAGAAATAAACATGGCTTAAAGTTAGGGATCCCTAGTCTCCTTCCATTCTTGTTGAGTTGATCCATTCTTTTCAAGATTAGAGAATGATAATTTTGGCATACTAACAAAAAATATATGCTCTGTGCTTTTTTTTTTCTTTTAATAGCTTGGTGTTTCACTTAGCAGTTTGGGAGCTATACCGGCAGCAGCACTAGACCCCAACATTGCAACACTTGGGGAGATACCACAGCCACCACTTATGGGAAACGTAGACCCTTCCAAGATTGATGAAATTAGGAGAACAGTCTATGTTGGAAATTTGAATTCCCAGGTAACTAAGAAGAAGTTTAGCAGCAGAAACTTAACTCTTTTTCTCTTCATAAAAATCATATCAGTTGATAAAGTAGTATTCACCTGCTTTTTGAAAGCATATATTTTATTAAAGTGTTACTTTGTTTCCTCAGACAACAACAGCTGATCAACTACTTGAATTTTTTAAACAAGTTGGGGAAGTGAAGTTTGTGCGGATGGCAGGTGATGAGACTCAGCCAACTCGGTTTGCTTTTGTGGAATTTGCAGACCAAAATTCTGTCCCAAGGGCCCTTGCTTTTAATGGAGTTATGTTTGGAGACAGGCCACTGAAGTAAGAAATCCTAAACAAAGAAATTTTAATGATTTTGCAAAATGTGAAGTATTTTTTTTTTGTAATGAAAGCTTCTTTTCTTTTTGAATAGTAATTGGCAATTTGTGGAAAGACTTTTAAATACAAATGAAATACATGAGATACCATTTTAGCCTTTAAATACCTATATCTAAAGACATTTATCTTGATCATTTTCTTTTTTATAAGGTCTAATTTAATGTTAACATTATTTATATACTCTGCATAATGATCGTAGATCTTTTTCCATAAGCTTTAACAAGTAAGGTTGGTTTTGCATTATGACTCTAGACTAATGGGCAACTTAACATGTGAGTTAAACTACAATACTTCTAGTAATAAGAAGTTCGGTAAATTCAAAATCTCAGGAAGAAAATATTAAGTATCCAGAAATGTTGTAAACCAAACATTTTGACTTCTAAGGTTTGCTCATATTTTTGCAAAAAATTGATGTAGCCTTTCAGATACACAAATTTTATTTCATGCAGATTATTGAGGCAAACATAGTTTTGTCTGAATTTCATAGATAATTGCCTCAGTTAACACAATTTGATTAGGGTTTTATTGTTAATGAATAAATAACTTCTTAGTGCGTATTTGTCTTCTTTGTGTGAAAGCGGTAAAGTAAAACACATCAAATTCATTTTTGTGCATAAGAGAAACCACTGTTAGCTAGTAGAAGAAGAGTTTTGTCAGATGCCGCAAACGTTCTAGTCTGTGTCTGACTTAGCTGTGGTTCAGGGTCAATTAAATGATGGACATGATATACAGCTTTTTCTTCATTCTCCCAAGGTGCACAGGTTATCAGTAAAATCTTATGATCTAAAAATAAAAATAATTCATTTTAGTATTGGTATCAACATTTTAATTTATTGTAATTCTAAGCTATATCAAAAAGCACTTGGTCTGATCTATTTGAGTTTTTAAAGAAGTCAGCTACGGTGTAGTTTTTCTTTTTTCCTTTCTCTTGGCTTTGTTAATGAGATGATGTGAGGTAGAGATGAGAGATTAATCATGGTTTTAAGGTTGTTTTTGGTTATTCCATATTTAGCTATATCATTCTTAATGTGTTTCTGACATGTCCTCAGATTTATAAATATGTGTATCATATAAACATTTGATTGTTTCATGTTTTATAAAATATGGTGTGTATTTGTGATATGCTAATATTTTTAATTTAGAATAAATCACTCCAACAATGCAATAGTAAAACCCCCTGAGATGACACCTCAGGCTGCAGCTAAGGAGTTAGAAGAAGTAATGAAGCGAGTACGAGAGGCTCAGTCATTTATCTCAGCAGCTATTGAACCAGGTAAGGCCATGTAGCATTGTTACATAGGTCATAAAGATTACAGACTCTTAGAACTGAAAGGAATTTTAGAAATTATCTTGTTCAGTCCCTTCATTTTACAAACAAGAAGACTGAAACTCAAGAAATAGTAAGTGACTTACTCATGTCAAAGAATAACTTAGCACAAATCCTGTCTTTTCCGATGATACTGAATTGAGGCACATTCGTCTGAGTTAATCAGCTCTAAATATTTATATTTTAATGGCACAATCTGCTCAAAACTGATTGCTGAAAGCAAAACATAAATGTTATTGAAAGGCTAAAAAGAGGCTAACATGTTATGATTCTGTAGGTTTACTTTTCTTCAAAGTTTTAACTTTAAAAATAGAAAAGAGAGTCCATGATTTAGGGAGAAAAACCACAGATACTGTTTTAGCGTGGTAAAGAAACACCTATTCAAATTTTTGTGTTGCTAACTAAAATAATTTAAAAATCCAATCTAAAAATGTCTAGGTGGTTTACATTTGAGCAGATTTTCTAAATTAACACTCATAATTTAAGCTTCAATTCTAGCAGAGTAAATGGAAAAAGGACTTAAAATCACTGTCATAGGAATTACAGACATGTTATAATCGTACATTATGGCAGCAACAAAATATTACGAACAGCTGTTTATAATCATCTGGTTTATATGTACTGCTGCAGGGTGGCTGCACTCAACGAGTTTATGCAATGACTTTCTTGGATGTTTCTGAAGGATAATTGCACAGGAGGAGGATGTACAGAGAGTAGGCCCCTTGCACTATATGTGGTACATTCCACTTGTGCCTAATTATTAACTGGGATCTTTACTTGTTCTGAGCTTACACTGCAAAGTGGTTTTTTCCTCCCAGAGTCTGGAAAGAACAATGAAAGAAAAGGCGGTCGATCTCGTTCCCACTCTCGCTCAAAATCCAGGTCTAGCTCAAAATCCCATTCTAGACGGAAAAGATCACAATCGAAACACAGGTGAGAATTTCTATCATATTTAAATAGTTTTTTTTTTTTAGTTTTGTATTTAAAATAGTTAAGATTTTATGAGTTTTTTTGTCAAAATACTAAATTTAGAAATTTTAGTAGTGTTCACCTGGACGTGTGGTTACCATTAAATATTGCTCTAATTATAATACCATAGTTTAAAGAATGAAATTTTGTCTAATATTTAATGTTTAATATTTCAACTAATTTTTAGTTTTAGAAGTTGGGTTTTTGTCTAAAGATACTTTATTTCTGAGTTTTCTGAGAGTGAACTAGTCTTTATATAGAAGTCACAGAAACTCTTTTTATTCATCAGATCAAGAAAAGGGAACATATTTAGTGTCCATGCTGAAAATATTATTCATGTTGTAGGTTTTTTGTTTTCTTTTCCCAGTCCACTCCAGGTCTGGGGAGCACCACCCCCAGATCTTGGTTTCAAGCAATTCCCTACCTCCAGTACCATGTTTCCAGTGGAACACTTTGAGTCCTTGGTACTTCTGGTGATAGGAGCCTCCTCTGCCTGCTTTTAGACTTGAAACACAGGAGTAACTTGCAGTTTTAACTCCAACTGGTGTACTTTTCCTAAGCTCAGTTTCTGTTCTGTTTATCTCATTTTTGATCATAGCTTTGTCATTTTGGTTTTATTTATTTTTTCTTTGTGTTTGGTGCAAAGAGGACCTCAAAATATAAACTTGTGACACGATCTTGACTGGCAGTACCCTAAAAATCATGTCTAAGTTAAAAATTTTGTCTTTAAGGTATGGAGGGCAACTACTGTTGAAATGTGAAAGTGTCTATAGTGGATCCTAATTGCATATTATGTGTACTCATACATGTACTCATACTTATGTCTTGAGAAAGGAGGGAGGGAGGGAGGAGTGTATGTGCATGTTATGTGCATTAAAGAAGGGGAAACGTTTCAGGGGAGGAAAAAGAACCAGTGTGCTGTACATTGAGCCTCAACATCAAGCTCAGTTTAGTTTGTATTTCTGTGATGATTAAGAAAATTCGGAGAATGTAATAGGAAAATAGGATGTTCTTTCTTTGATTCTAGTGAACTGTACTTCTGGTTGTACTGGTGTATACATTTATGTTATTCTTAGTCTGCAAAATCTCCTTTGGAATATGGTTTTACTATCTCAATATTCAGGGTCTTATGGTAAGGCACATTCAGAACCAAGCGAAGGAAATTGTTCATGTACAAGGAGTAAGACAGTGCAGCAGAAGCCAGAATTGGAGAAGGAAAGTAGAACAGAGCAGCAGTGGTACTAGCCTATGGATATCTACATATGTTGACAGGATGTGGTGAGGATAAAGGAGATCAAGGAAATGGGCTGAAGAGTAATAACTTCCTTTCTGAGGAAAAAAAGACCAATGACCCGAATCTCATTTTTGTGTTGATTTTTAACAGAGCTAAGTTCCAAGGAAAAAACCAAAACTTGGTAACATCATTGTTTCTTTGATAATCTGTGTGAAGCTTTATGTGCATATTGAAATTATGGCAAATAAGTTAGCTGTCGACTTTAAGGGTTTCGTTTTTATTTTAAGTATATTTGGCTATTTTCCCCTTCTAAGGGCTAGTGGGGAAGGGCTAGTGGGGAAGGGGTTATTCAGGCTAAACTAAAATCTAGTGATTACTGTTCTCATTCATGGGAGTACATTCTCGTAGATATGTCTGTATAGCATTAGAAATTGTTAGCTCTTGGCGTACATACATACATATTTTTGTCAGCATATTCTGTTTTTATACATGCATATGGAAACCTTGACTAAGCTCTCATAAACAAATACTAATGCAAAAAAGGATGAGTTCTCTTTAAAGGAGGAAAAAAAATCCTTTACCTAAAAACATTTTGCTTAAGAGTCCTGACCTAGAAGGACTCCAACCCCCAGGAGCCTGGGAGGGAATGACAGGCCTTTCTTGGCTTTTCCTCCCATGGTAGTGGGAGTTGATGTCCTTGGGTCTTGCTCTGACCTATTAGACTTAGCAGGAGTGAGGGTTACAGGAGCCCTTTCTCTTAAAGGCCCAGCCTCTTATACCTTTTAACCATCTTCATATGCTTCCTACCTTCTAACCACCCATACAACCTTTCTCTATTCCTTTCCATTTTTACTGTAAGAAGGAGGAAAGGGTTTCTTGTTACTGTGACCTTGCCTAGGACTGAGGAATTGTGCTTCCATTTTGTCCAAATTTTGATACATGTTTTATTAATAGAAACAGTGTTAGAAAAGGTGTGTAGCATTATAATTGTTGTATTTTTAAGTTAAGTAACTTTACAGACCAGCATAAACTAGACATTTTATAGTGATTTAATGGAAAACAACTGATTTACAAATGAACTTTGATGCAACATAATGGTAAGTTGCTATTTATTTATAGTTTAATTAAAAAATACAGTTTTGCATTATTCAAAACAATGGGAATATAATTTCTCATTAAAAAGTGGGAATTGCTGATGATAAGACAAATCTTTATCTTTTGTTGGATTAGATCTGCTCTTGACTACTTTTAGCATTCTTAATCAGAAAACTTACTAGAGTGGGTGAGATAGAGACATGAAAATATGTAATGTCGAAATTAAAATGTAATAGTTACCCTTGAGCAGTGATTTTTGAAATCTTAGGACCTACAGGGTAAGATGAGAAGCCAAGTGATCAGTGCTTTTTTTTTTTTTTTTTTTTGAGACAGAGTCTCACTTTTGTTGTCCAGGCTAGAGTGAGTGCCGTGGCGTCAGCCTAGCTCACAGCAACCTCAAACTCCTGGGCTCAAGCGATTCTGCTGCCTTAGCCTCCCGAGTAGCTGGGACTACAGGCATGTGCCACCATGCCCGGCTAATTTTTCCTATATATATTAGTTGGCCAATTAATTTCTTTCTATTTATAGTAGAGACGGGGTCTTGCTCTTGCTCAGGTTGGTTTCAAACTCCTAAACTCAAACGATCCGCCTGCCTCGGCCTCCCAGAGAGCTAGGATTACAGGCGTGAGCCACCGCGCCCGGCCTGTACTTAATTTTATAAAAGATGTTTCTTTGCTTAATTAAGATGGGAAAGCACTGCTTTGAGGAAAACAAAGAATTATTTATATTTTTAGCAAGGATAATTAGAACAGAAATCTGTATGTTAAGACTTTTTATTAAGGCACATAGAAGCAAAGGCACTTTAAAAGAGTACCCTATGTGGATATCTATAAATGGACTAATAATATTCTGAGGTACACAGTTTTGCCTTAACATCTACTCCTACTCCTTTACCTTCGTGTCTCTTAAGTTACTAATGATAAAGATTTCAATAAACTATGAATTATCTTGTATTACAAATGTGACAGGAAGACAAGTGTATTATTTTAAATCCATATAACAAATGATGTTAGAAAGCACATTTTTAAATTTTTAAAAATTTTATTTTAACTAAATTATTTTTTAGAGACAGGGTGGTGTTCTCTTGTCCATCCTGGTACAGGCAAGTTCTTGCTGTGTTGCCCAGGTTGGTCTTGTACTCCTGGCCTCAAGCAGTCCTCCCATCTTGGCCTCCCAAAGTTCTGGGATTATAGGTGTGAGCCACTGCTTCCTTCTGGCCTGGAAAACAAATTTTGACTAACTGAAAAATGTGCTTAAAAAATAAGATTTCGTTATTAATTGAGGATTGTAAAGAGATTATTCTGGTTCATGGTTGTACCACAAGCATGGTTATTTAAGTATATCTCTTTTATAGATATTTGCTCTAACTTAATTTATTAAAACATGACTATCAAGAGGAGTTTTAGTTATAGAAAGCATACTTGTGGAAGTGCACTTGACCTCCTTAGAATAAATATATAATTTAAAGATTACATTTCTGTTAATTTTTCATGATGATGATATTGAGAATTAAAAGTTTCAAGCATTAATTTGTGCTAGAGACTGATAGGCAGTTTTATATATATTCTCAGACTTAATCCTCATGACTACCCTAGGCGATGTAGGTATGATTCTTACTTCACTTTATAGATGAAGAAACTCAGGCTTAGAGAGCATTAAGTGACTAGCCAGAGTTCTCACAGCTAGTGTGTGGCAGAGCTGAGTTTCAGAGCCAGATTGTCAGACTCCAAAGCCGGTGAGTCTAATCACTTTGCTATTTAAGTTGTGTGCATCTATTTTGTTACATTTGAATGCTTAGGATACCTCCTTATGGAGGAAAAAGAATAATTTTAAAATAGTTATTTCAGTGGGGGGGGGAGGGCTAGTCAAAATTGGAAACAACAGTTGTTCTTCTTGCAAGAATTCCAATAATAGTTTCTTTTAATATGGGTTGAGTCTCCAAAATCTGAAAATCTGAAATGCTCCAAAAATCCAGAATTTTTTGAGTGTTGACGTGATGCTTAAAGGAAATGCTCATTGGAACATTTTGGATTTTTGGAGTTTTGCATTTGGGATTCTCAACTGGTAAATGTATACATTGTAAATATTCCAGAATTTAAAAGAATCTGAAATTTCAAAGACTTCTGGTCTGAAGCATTTCAGATAAGTGATATTCAACCTGTAGCTATGATTATAGTTAAAGCTATAAAACCCCAAAGCATTGCAGATCTAACATTTGATTTTATCTAGTTTTAACTTATGAGTAATGGTTTTTATTTTCCTGTCACACTAGCCACCATCATTAGTAGTGTGCTTCCTTTATATATTCTTGTATGTTTATGACAAACAGCACACAGCCATTTGAACTATGTAACTACTACTCCCTGTTAAGATGCATTATAACCAGATTACATGCAAATCAAGAGCTGAAGACAATTTATGGTATGAAAACGTGGACCATGGGAAAAGTTTTCTATACTAATTTGAGATGTATGATTAGCAAAAGAAAGCCACACCTGAAAATATAAACTTAAGTCTGACACAGGAAATAACTGTTAAATTCTTTGTTTCTATCTCTGCAGTTTAGACAACAAAAATATCTGGTAAAGTTTCTAATAAACTTATTTCAGATAATCCTAATGAAAGCATTATATAAGAGAAAATTTTAAAATATTCATAAATACTTTTAGGACGGATTAAATTCTCTTCTTTGAAAGGCATCTTAAATTTTTAAAAATTGAAATTCTAAGAATAAGTTTTGATATTCTAACAATTTGTTTTTCTTTAGGAGTAGATCCCATAATAGATCACGTTCAAGACAGAAAGACAGACGTAGATCTAAGAGTCCACATAAAAAACGTTCTAAATCAAGGGAGAGACGGAAGTCAAGGAGTCGGTCACGTTCACGGTATGTTTTAGAGAAATTAAGTGTAATTTTTTTTTTTTTTTTTTGAGACAGAGTCTCGCTTTGTTGCCCAGGCTAGAGTGAGTGCCGTGGTGTCAGCCTAGCTCACAGCAACCTCAAACTCCTGGGCTCAAGCAATCCTCCTGCCTCAGCCTCCCGAGTAGCTGGGACTACAGGCATGCGCCACCATGCCCTTAGTTGGCCAATTAGTTTCTTTCTATTTATAGTAGAGACGGGGTCTCGCTCTTGCTCAGGCTGGTTTCGAACTCCTGACCTTGAGCAATCCGCCCGCCTTGGCCTCCCAGAGTGCTAGGATTACAGGCGTGAGCCACCGCGCCTGGCCAATTAAGTGTAATTTTTTCATTGGCTTTACTTGTTAAAAATCTGGTGTAGTTTAGGCTTTTAATGAGTAGTAAATTTTTTTCCTGATTGTTTTAGTGATCTAGGATTAATATTGATTGCCATTGAATTGAATCGGATGTCAGTATCACTCACGAGGTTTCCAAACTACTCAATTCACCTTGATATAATTGCTTCATTTAGTGGCTTCTTGGATACCTGAATTATATAAAAATGTGTATGTGATGTCTATAGCCATTATAAATTGTTTTGTGTTGATAATTGTTGAGGTAAAAGAGGGTGGTACTTTTGGGGTGTGGAATGATTTTATGAATTTATTTTTGTTTGTTTTTCAAGGGACAAGAGAAAAGACACTCGAGAAAAGATCAAGGAAAAAGAAAGAGTGAAAGAGAAAGATAGAGAAAAGGAAAGGGAAAAAGAGAGAGAGAGGGAAAAGGAACGTGAAAAAGAAAAGGAACGAGGTAAAAACAAAGATAAAGACCGGGACAAGGAACGGGAAAAGGACCGAGAAAAAGACAAGGAAAAGGACAGAGAGAGCGAGCGGGAAAAAGAGCATGAAAAGGAGCGAGACAAAGAGAAGGAAAAGGAACAGGACAAAGAAAAGGAACGAGAAAAGGACAGATCCAAAGAGATAGATGAAAAAAGAAAGAAGGATAAAAAATCCAGAACACCACCCAGAAGTTATAATGCATCAAGAAGATCTCGTAGTTCCAGCAGGTTTGATAATGCTTAATGTTTTTACCAAAGGGTTTACTGATGACTATAAAAACAACTTTTCACTGAGGGGGGAAAGGTTATTCTGTCTAAGTGGAACCAGTATGGTAGTACCAGGTAATATCAGAACATTTTCCCCTAATTACAGAGTAAACATTTCTGTAGCAGAGGGATTGCCACTGTATTAATCAACTATTTGGAAGAAGAGATGATATTGGGCAAAATTATTTTTAAAAGTTTTAACTATCCTTTGTAACCCACTATTTTAATCTGGCTAAGTGTTGTTATTAATATTGTTGTTATTTTCTTGGCAGGTGGGATGGTAGTGGAACGTATTTTCTTTTTAAAGAGTATAGAATTGACCTTTAGGCTTCTATATTTTTTTGGAATGATATGGTGAATTTTTTTTTTTTATTTTTTTTATTTATTTTTTTTTCTGAGACAGAGTCTCACTTTGTTGCCCAGGCTAGCGTGAGTGCCATGGCGTCAGCCTCGCACACAGCAACCTCAAACTCCTGGGCTTAAGCGATCCTCCTGCCTCAGCCTCCCGAGTAGCTGGGACTACAGGCATGTGCCACCATGCCCGGCTAATTTTTTCTATATATATATTAGTTGGCCAATTAATTTCTTTCTATTTTATAGTAGAGACAGGGTCTCGCTCTTGCTCAGGCTGGTTTCGAACTCCTGACCTTAAGCAATCCACCCGCCTCGGCCTCCCAGAGTGCTAGGATTACAGGCATGAGCCATCGCGCCAGGCCGTGAATTTTAATATGCAAAATTTTTTCTAAAGTTGCAGTGTTAATAACCTTTTTTTTGTCATCTGAGTTATTTTTTAACTCTATTTTGTTGACTGCATCACATTTAAATTTTAGTTCTCTTTTATTTGTCAGTTTTAACCAGGGGTCGTCAAACTTTTTAAACGGGTCCAGTTCACTGTCCCTTAGTCCGTTGGAGAGTGCGCACTGTGGGCCCTGGAGAGTTGGCTGCTAAGCTGGACAGGCATCGGCGCCAAAAACACCTGGCAGGCCAGATAAATGTCCTTGGCGGGCCGGGCCGTAGTTTGAGGACTCCTGGTTTTAATGGTTAAATTTTCTTCTTAGGACTGTTCTCTCAATTTGTCAATAGGTATGCCACCAGGTGGCAGCAAGTTGCCATAGTAACAGCTGCAAATTGAGAACCAACTTTGAGATTTGAATATCCCTTCAGATGATATGATGACTATAAATAAATGGAATTTCCTAACTTATGTTTATCGCATTTTAAAATATTAAATATACATATATTTTTAGCAAGGTTTAAAGGTACTTTAAAGATTATTTTATAGAAAACAATTTGAGATGAAGGAATGTATATTCCTTAGATTTTAAACGTATGTTTTGATAGTTTATTCTTTCTTTTTTTTTTTTTTTCCACTTTCTATTTCACAGGTGAATGATAGTTTATTCATAATACTAGCCTTTGACCAGGTAATGAAAGATAATTGCAGGCATTTATTGGGTACTTTACTATATGCTAGATACTGTCTCAGATTTTTTCATGTCTCACCTTATTTAATCCTCACATAGAAGACTATCATCATCACTGTTTAATACACAAGGAAACTGAAGCTTAGAGGAAGTTTTTTATCCACCCCTATACTTTAATATCAGAAGTATAGTAGTTCTTTCTCTTCTTCATAGAGATTAAGTTTGAAACATTTTAAACTAGTACTTGATACCTGCTTTTTTCAAAGCTGCCTCAGAAGCATAAAGTTGAAAGTAATAGTTTATGTTAAAGTGGGGCTCAAAGTAAACAGGTCATTGTAGGATTTTTGGCACATTGAACCAAAAATTGAAAAATTGGTTTAACCTCTGCTGTGGGTATCATTTGAGCCTTATAACTGTACTTTTACTGTAAAGTGATTTTATTGATTGTGTGTTAGTCATGCCTTTTTGTTTATGTGATTATTTAGGAATTACCCTTTACAGCACCAAATAATGTTTTGATTCCTTTTTAATAACGTGAATTTACTTTTTCTGATGATTTTGAAATGTTTGATTTTTTTTCATGGGCCACTTTAAGTTGCTTGGTGTATAGGAAAGTTCAAGTGTTCACATTCAGTCCTAAATATATTCTTAAACAGCCTCTGGGACCTGAAGAATAAAAGATGACTGATATTATTAGTTCATGTTTCAGCAATTTAGAATGTTCCTGCTTTCAGAAGAGCTTGTTAAAGAGCTATAGTCTCTCATCTTTTTGCTTATTAGATGCTCTGATTTATTAAATGGGAAATATTTTAACTACTCAGAAAAACAGTCTACTTAATATTTTAATTTTCAACACTGTCTCTTAATCTGATTTGTAATGAAAATTTTATTATTTAAAAAATGTTTAATGCTTAAAAGTTATCGTCAATAAAGGTAAGACCAAGAAAGGGAAGGAGAGAATATTTATTGAGTACCTACTATGTGCCAGACTGTCTGCATGGTACTTTCCAGGTATTATCCCATATCCTCAAAACAACTCTACAAGGCTTGAATTATTAATTATCTCCATTTTGCTGTTGAAAAAACAGACTCAGGTTAAATAACATGACCTTGGTTGTTGAGCTACTAAGTTGTGTAACTAAAATTTAAATAAGTCTAACCAACTCTAGTAATCTTTCTCAAGTAATTGATTGTCTAGATTGCTGTCTATTCAGCCTTAGCTCTTGTTATTATCACCTAGTAGTAATTAGACATCCACCTGTACATTGTGCTTTCTGAAGACACAAGTGAAGAATTACACTGATCAAGGCAGAGCCATTTTTTGTAAACTTAAAGTCTGGATTATGCTGACATTCTCATGCAGTGACAAACTTTTGGTTCTTAGTTATAGATGGCATTGAATGAAATATTCTCTAATTTCCACATTAGTTAGGAAATAATGATTTTGGAATATCTGGGAATAAAAGTGGGTAATGGAGGAGAGAGCCTTAGGTAAAGTTGGAATTTATTTATTTGTGTTCTCAAAATTCTTGAGCTTTTATAAAGTCTTTTACAAACATCTGTCATATGTACCTCATGGGAGCATTATTTAGTTTTTTATTTTATAATTGAAAAACATAGAGAAAAGTTATTAGTCTCTTATTATAAATTTACTGGGGTGATAAAGAGAACTTGAATTCTAGAGGATTTGGTTCTTTCAGCCATGTGGTCACTGATTATCAGATCTCCTTGTGAAATAGATGATTGGATACATTAGTCATTTAATAGAGCCTCACACCTCATCTCCTAAATTATAGACATAGTGAAGTTCATTGTTTCTAAATTGACTGCCCTTATCAATGAAGTAATTTAGAGTACTCATCATTTGCTAATATGTTAAGCAAAATAGTTTTTAACAGTAAACATTGTTAATTTATTTACTAATTATTTCTTTGTCATTTTAAGTCCCAGATTTTAACTTTTTAACTTATCTAAATATCTTGTTTATTCAATTTCAAATTAGTTGAACAACAATAATGAAATGGTAGGAAGTTGGAGGGAAAAGCAATTTCTCTATAATGATACAATGTAAATACTTTGTAGAGCCCTTCTAAAAATACTTGGATCTAGACAGTTTGCATTTTGCAAACTTATCTTTCAGTTTTGAAAAGGGCCTGTTAACTTTGTTACAAAATAATCCACAGTGGGGCAGCAAGGAGCTAGATGGGTGACAAAGGATCTGATGAGCAAAACATGTTTTAGGTGCTAAGAAAGAACATAATTAACTTGAGAGAAACTGAAACATTAATATTTTTTCTACTCAAGAAATTATTATTCAAGTAAATCAGATGAAAAGGACATCCTCTACCCTAGTTTCTAATATGAAATGATAGGTGATATTTTCCTCAATCAATGAAATTTCCGGTTCATAATGTGACCTGCCCTAAAATTAGATAATAGACCATGTTTATCAAGGACATGAGTTTTAACTGGCCTCTAAGGAATACTATTCATTGGAGCATATCAAGGACCCTTTTGCTATTATATATTTGAATTGCTGTTTATTTCAATTACTGTTTTCTGAAATGACTTTTTTGGCTTTCAGAGAAAGGCGTAGGAGGAGGAGCAGGAGTTCTTCAAGATCACCAAGAACATCAAAACCCATAAAAAGGAAATCTTCTAGATCTCCATCCCCTAGGAGGTAGGTTGCAAGCATGTGCTAAAACTAGAGAGGAGGAAGCAAGCAGGAAATATGAAACATTTTTAAAAAATTCTCTTTAATCTATTAAACTTTATCTTTTGAATGAGTAATATATTTGCATCATCCAGAAGTTAAATAATACAAAAAGTTACACTTTGAGAAATCTTACACTTATGTGCTCATCTACTCTATCCTAATAAGTGATGACTTTTATTAGTTTCTTTGTACATCCTTCCAGTTTTTATATACAGATACAAGATGAGAATGTATCATTTTTTTCCTTATATCAAAAGTAACATAAAATATACACTGTTGTACACTTGATTTTGTCACTTAGCTACCAGGAGATCTTTTCCATACTGGTGAAGAGAGCTTCTTCACTTCTTTTTATAACTGCATCAGTTATAACTGCATTGTATGGAAGTACCTTGGTTTATTTAACTAGCCTGCAGTACAATGAGTTTTTTGAATTTTCCTACTATGAATTATATAATACTGTAATGAACAGTTTTGGATTTAAATTGTTTTGTTGTGTGCAGATGTGTAGGAAAAATTTCCAGAAACAGCATTATTAGTTTAGAGAATGAGTATGTTTGTAATTTTCAGAGATATTTCCAAATTCCTCTTCATAAGAGTTCGCAGCAGTTTGCACTCTACCCAACTATGTAATGAATTGTTTTTTCCCTATAATCTTCAGGGTATGTTATTTAAAAAAAAAATGGATATGTTTTTCATTCCATCATCTGCTTAACTTTTGCTGTTGAATTTATGAGACTTCTTTCTAATGGTGGATGAGGAGAGCAAGTGGCACAGTAGGTTATTTGAAGTTCCAAGTTTTGCTAGTAGTCATTCAGCCCTTCCTGGGAGCCACATTCAATTCTTTTTAATTCTTTTCTTATTTATTGCTTTGGAAAAGTTTGTAAGAAAATACTATTTTGGTTTTATTTTATCCTAATTACAGTTAGATAAATCTTGGATATTTTAAAACTAATAAACTGGCAATGCCAAATTGTGTTTTCTGTGAATACATTGTGGCCTCTGCAAAGAAGACTTGTGTAACTTTAAAAAACTGAGTAAGGGTGGAGTAGGTTGTATTATATGACTCACTTATATTATTTTGTCAAACCACTTTACTGGTAGGTATACTTATTAACAATTATTTTAGATACCCTGTGTGAGATAAGGATATTTTGTCAAGAATATAATAAGTTTTTAATTTCTTAGAAGTTAATTGACATATCAATATTCTTATAGCAGAAATAAGAAGGATAAAAAGAGAGAAAAAGAAAGGGACCACATCAGTGAAAGGAGAGAGAGAGAACGTTCCACCTCTACAAGAAAGAGTTCTAACGACAGAGATGGGAAGGAGAAGTTGGAGAAGAACAGTACTTCACTTAAAGTAAGCAGCTGTCATTCAGTGTCTGGGCATTGAGACTGTCCTTTATTGCATAGAAATAGTTTTATTTTATTTTTTTTATTTTTTTATTTTTATTTTTTGAGACAGAGTCTCACTTTGTTGCCCAGGCTAGAGTGAGTGCCTTGGCGTCAGCCTAGCTCACAGCAACCTCAAACTCCTGGGCTCAAGCAATCCTCCTGCCTCAGCCTCCCAAGTAGCTGGGACTACAGGCATGCGCCACCATGCCCGGCTAATTTTTTCTATATATATGAGTTGGCCAATTAATTTCTTTCTATTTATAGTAGAGATGGGGTCTCGCTCTTGCTCTGGCTGGTTTTGAACTCCTGACCTCGAGCAATCCGCCCTCCTTGGCCTCCCAGAGTGCTAGGATTACAGGCGTGAGCCACCATGCCCGGCCAGAAATAGTTTTAGACTAAAAGGTTTTTAAGGGAAATAGTGTCTTGTACATTGCTGGTATTTTTAAATTTTTGCAATTGATAATTTTTTTTTTTTGAGACAGCGTCTCACTTTGTTGCCCAGGCTAGAGTGAGTGCCGTGGCATCAGCCTAGCTCACAGCAACCTCAAACTCCTGGGCTTAAGCGATCCTGCTGCCTCAGCCTCCCGAGTAGCTGGGACTACAGGCATGTGCCACTATGCCCAGCTAATTTTTTGTATATATATTTTTAGTTGGTCAATTAATTTCTTTCTATTTTAGTAGAGACGGGGTCTCCCTCTTGCTCAGGCTGGTTTCGAACTCCTGACCTTGAGCAATCCTCCCGCCTCAGCATCGCAGAGTGCTAGGATTACAGGCGTGAGCCACCGTGCCCGGCCTTGATAATTTTTTTAAAGTAAATTTTGGAGAGATGTGAACCAATTAAAATGGAAACAATTGTATTCCTTATTTTAGACAATCATAGCATGGCATGCAATACAAACATTTTTAGAAATCTATAGATAACAAATGTATTTGATTTTATACTGATAAGCTTTCTACCTTATACCATTTTCCTCAATATGTGTTTTAGCAAATTTTTTGGAAAGACTTTCTGTTAGCATTGGTTTTGTAATATGTAGTTAAAATTAGGTTTGTTGAGTTACAATACTTAATGGAAAACGAAATTCCACCAAGCAAGATTTTTCTTTTTTTTTTTTGAGACACTCTCACTCTGTTGCTCTGGGTAGAGGGCATTGGCATCTGAGCTCACTGCAACCTCCAACTCATTGGGATCAAGTGATCCTCCAGCTAATTTTTCTGTTTTTAGTGGAGATGGGGGTCTCACTCTTGCTAAGGCTGGTCTTGAACTCCTGAGCCCAAAGCGATCCCCCCACCTTAGCCTCCCAGAGTGCTAGGATTACAGGCATGAGCCACTGCTGCCCAGCCAGTAAGCTTTTCCTTGGGTAAATATTTTAAGAATTTGTGAATTATGTTAATTTCCTTATTATACTGGTGTAGTATACTTGTATTTGGAAGTTAATTATGTGTTCTTGAGGTTTCATCTTACAGATTTTATTTACTCTTATGCTGATAATTTTCAATTACATTGATAGCATTTATTGAGCATTTACTATGTGCCAGACATTGTTCATTTTCATTTAATTCTCTATTAAGCTGAGGGCAGAATTTGGAGAGTTCTTGAGCAGTTCTTTTATTAGGAGGAATAGTGACTTCTTTTTCTGTATTCCCTTATTTTTGCTTCTTTGATATCCAGGTTACAAATCTATCCTGGCATCTTTGGAAACTGTTTCTTTCAACAGATCTATCCCACTTTTTCAAGTCTATCAGTAACATTTATTGAGTGCTTCCTTAGATTTATGTTTACCTATTAGATTCTAATTTAATTTCTATGTATTGTACATCTTTTTTGAGAATACAAAGGGCAAATTGATGGTGTGTGCATATTTTTATATGAAAAAGTACTAGGAGAAAATATCCAGTTTTATTAATTCACAAAAGATAAAGTTACATATTTTAGCCATAATAGGCGACTCTTGAGGAAAATATTAAATGTATGCCTTAATATTCTTTGTAGGAGAAGGAGCACAATAAAGAACCAGAGTCAAGTGTGAGCAAAGAAGTAGATGACAAGGATGCACCAAGGACTGAGGAAAACAAAGTACAACAAAATGGGAATTGTCAGCCAAATGAAGAAAACCTCTCAACCAAAACAGAAGCAGTATAGGACCAACAAGTGTACCTTTACACTCAGTGCTGGAATAAAATCCAAAGCTTTTAATTTTCTCAACAAGATGTAGACATGGAAGAAATCTAGTTGAGCATAAAGATAGGATCTAACAGCTTTTACAGTTGTTAGGTGACACTGTGGCCATCTTGTTGCTGAGTAAGAAAATAAAGCATGGACATCATGAAAACAACAGATGTTACCCAAACTCATCTTCTAAAATCTGTGCATTTCCATGGTGGCTGACACACTCGTCATGTGGTTTGTTAGTGTTTGCCAAGAACCATTGCAAATAAATCGAACATCAAAGAACCAAATTTGTACCATCCCTAAAGACTAGAGATAAGCATTGGAGGCTGTTTAAAAAATGCTAGTTACTGAATTTTGTATTGTTTTACCTTTTTTTTTAAAAAAAAAATTCAGTATATACAGTTTGATGATGTGCTTGAAATTGGTGCAAACATATACACATCCTTGTAAGTGCAAAGTATGTAAGAAGTTTTAACATTTACTTCACAGGATTTACAGTGATTGTGTTAAATTCTCACTATTGTGTTTTCTTTTGCTCACTGTTTAGGACAATGGTTTTTTTAAAAATAGTTTCGCAGATTAAAATTGCTTAAATAAGTGGATTAAAAATACAACTGACAATGCATGTTACTGTTCTCTTTCAAAAGGAAGAAACAACTGTTGAATACTAATAATAATGTATTAGTATTCAGTGTTTAGAATTGTTGGGTGTACCCACAAAGTGAGCATTTTTTTGAACTTTCTTGACATTTCCAAGCTTATTATGAATAATACTGCAGTGTGTCTTGTCAGCTGTAGGTGGCAAAGGTGCCCTTATAAAAAGGAAACTGGGTTTTCAAAATGGGCTATGGGAGCACAAGCTGAAGCTTTAGTGCCTTCTACAATGTGGTATACTGTTTTCTAGAATTTTATATGTGCTAGTCATTCTCAATCATATGGAATCTAGATGGATATTTCATTCATACCCATAGAGAAGTGTGCAAGTGGTATGTCAGAAGAGCTTCTTATGTATTTCACCTAATAAGAGAAGGAAGTCCTGTTTTCAAGAATGGCTTTATTTCGAGTCATACAGTTTTGGGACCATCAGTTTTATACTGTGATAATTGAAAATGAAACATGTTCTTATTTTTCTTAAATCAGAGGAAACCCTTTAGTTGTCTACATTGGATGGCCTTAATTATTACCTCTCAATCATATTCTCATAAATGACGTGCAGAAATTATACTTTAAGGGAGGACTAGGGCTATACAGGAGGTTATTTGTTTTATGTTTAAGGATACATTTACTTGAGTTTATCTTATAGGTCATCCATCATTCTAAGGCTCACTTTTTGCAGAAAGTATGCTAATAGAAAAATGACAACATTGCTGTTTTTCCCCAGACTATATAACTTGTCATTTCTGAACTCTTCATTGTGGTTATATTTCCCAAAATGTAATCTTTTAATTAGCATGTTACTAAAAAAATCAAGTACTTTAATGCAATCTAATACAATCAAATTACTCAGTTGCCTTACCTCATGGGAAGAGTTACTTTTATAGATTTAAAAAGCTGAGTAGCACGTTAGTTACTTGGTTTCAACTTGAGTTTTCTTTTAATGTTAGTACTATTAAAACTTAAGTATTTGGCGGAGAATGGAAAGAGTTGCCCTTATTGCAAGTAATGAAGCCTGGTTTGATTATGAAGCTGCTTAATCACTCTTCATGTGTTCAAAATTACTGTGTTTTTGTTTTTTCCTTTTTGTCACTGTGTACATTAAAATTTTGGAAAATGCTTTACTATGTAAAGTATAAGATGGTCATTTTAATCATTCAACCACATACGGTTGGCTGGTAAGGCTTATTCTGATACAAGAATGCTTGGGTGCATATGGAAAGATTGTGAAAGAGTGTGTGTCTTGCATCAACAGCTATCTTATTTATGATATGTAAGTAGCATAGAGCAAATGTTTGAATCTTTGTTATTTTTAGTACTGTTGCTCTAATAAAGCTAAGTATTTTAGAGGAAAATATTTGTTTATGCATTTCAAAACATTTTAGTTTCATCCTACTCTTGTTTTAGTTGGCATAGAGATTGTTTTGACGTGGAGAGTGTGTTTGTATGGTGTCTATAAAACAGTCATTTAATGTTTGAGTGTTTTTTTTTTGTGCTCTGGACTCTATTAAATATTTTTTATGTTGGTTATTAGCATTCAGTTTGGTTTATGCTGCTAATTATTTTTCTTGCTGATACTTATTCAGCTTTAAAATAACCATACTAATCTTAAAAGACTCTGACTTGTAAAAGCAGAGAATGAGGAATACAAGAGATCTGGAGAAAGTGAAATCAGGTTATTATGTGGGACTTGACATTTCCTCATATGGGTTTATGAAAGCAAAGCTTTCTAGGGTCTAGGATGTTTTGTGTGTGTGTGTGTGTGAGAGAGAGAGAGAGAGAGAGAGAGAGACTTATTTTCTCTGTTCACGTATAAGCTCATTTGTTTCCATTTGTTTATTATTTTCTTTGAAGGTACTTTGTTTTTTCTTTAAGACTGTTCTTTTTAATCTCAGGTAGATGTCAGGAAAACTTGAGGTAAGGCCAAGAAGACAGCCATTTTACACTTGATACCTTCTGTAATTATCTTTTTTTGCTTGATTATACAGAGAGTACACTTTTCCTTAAACTGCAGTTGCTATTTATCATTCTAGACAAATTCTGTTGGTACTTATTCTTGCTTTTCAGCAATGCACACTGAACTGGTAACAGAAGACGATGGTCCTTCATAAGCCAGCCAGTCAGTTCCATGTGTCAAAACTTACAAATCCTGAGGATGGCAATCTTTGAGATGCTAGTCCACTGCCTTCCTCATTTGCTGGTAAATTAATAAACTTCTCTTTCCTTTTCCTTAAAAGAAAAAAAAAACACCAAACTTATCCTTAACTTCATTATCATCTAATGTAATTGGCTTATAATTTTAAACACTAGTCAGCTTGTGATCTTCCTTGTGTTTAGAATTCTTTTTTGGAAGATTTTTAATATCTGCTATGTTGATCTTTAGAAGTCTCATAGGCTTTAATTTTGACATGCTCAATCAAAAGTAAAAACTAGCATTTGTAATCAAAAGGGGTTTTTTGGTCAAGAGAATAGTTTTTTTGTGATAGTAATCACTTTCAGGGCACTCAGTTATTCCGGTGTATATGTTGATAGCTGTATTTTAAAACTTAGAAAAAGAACCCTAATCCAAACTTCCTTCCAACCGAAGATATTATTTAAGTGTAAGGATTATAATGCATAGTTAATAGGCTTTTAAAAGCATTTTCAATCTACCAGAAATAAAGCATATGATTTGATTTAATCATCTTTAGTCATTGGATTGGCAATTAAAATGAGTCCTTTTAGAGGGATGCATTGAATGGCTTAACATTTCTGGTGAGTCATTTTCATTAAAAGATAGTATATGCTTTTATCTGGGTGGGTTATGAACTAGAGCCATTCCCCAAAAGTAAACGTGCAGTGATCATATGTTCCTTGCGTCTTTAAATATTTTTTATTTTGTTTACATATATAGTTAGTATTTTCTCATATTTATTTACTAGTGTAATAGTCACTTGAAATTAAACTGTTTATTTTCAGATTTCAAAAGGTAATGCTCTTAAAAGGGCTAAGGTATATTTCTGGAAGCAGGCATCTAGTATAAATGTAATAAATCTTTTAAAATAAAATTGACTTACCTGCTTAGTCTTGGTTTATTAAGTAATTTTGTTTGTTTTTAGTATACTTTTATTGTAGGTTTTGCCCAAAGAGTAATAGGTTATTTTTAAAGTAAAAGCTAAAACTGTTTATGATTTTGGGTCATATTTAGTCAAGTTGGATTTAGTACCTAATAACTAGCTTTGTTTCCATTTAATTCTAAGATACTTTCATAGTTTCTAGCAGCTAATTTGTTATAATTATTAGTTTATATCTAATATAACATTTCTTAATATGTTTTTAAAAGTAGGTTTGTAGTCTGTTGCTTGATTTTTAAATTGATATCTAGCTGATAGTTTTGAAAATTGCCAACTTTGGGGAAACTTCACATATTTTACCTCTAAATTTTATTTTTCCAGGATTAGAATGGATTAGTAGTTCCACCTATGGTTGATTAGTTTTTATTTGCTAGACAGATAATTTCTTAATTATATATATAAGTTCAAATTCATGAAAATCATACTGGAAGAATTAGAAGAGATTTGTACCAGTTTAAGGTTACTGGTAGGCAACACACTGTTAGGGAGTAACCTAAGGAATTCCTGATTTAAAGATTAAATTTGAGTATACTGTGTAGCTGTATAGATCAATTTAATGTTTAAATAATTACCTCCTTAATCTAAATTAGATTAATAGAACAGTGCTGTGGATTATCAAAGGAAGAGTTTAAAAATGTAAACATAAACATGCTGCATAGGTGGTGTATATTTGTGAGTAGGACTACTTTTAAATGGTACTAGTAAAGATTTATCAAATGCTGCTATTATGTTGCTATATTTTTAATAAAATGAAAATCTTAAAATCTTGCAACTGTTGAGTAGTAATTTCACCTATTTCTAAGACGTATTTGCATGTTTATAGCTTATTTTTATAACTGAAAGATGGTAATAGGTTCTTCTGTAAGATACTGGGCTATAAGGACAATAGACACCTTCCAGCTTCTGTTTACTGCTTGTTTGCTGACCGCAAGGCATTATGAGTATATTATGGGATGCAGAGGAAAAAGAGCAGAAACCTGAGTCTCTCAGCTAGGACCCAGAACAGGTTAGGGCCTATCAGGGGCAGGCTGAAGTAAAAATCACTGTGGGGGCGGATGCAAGACTAGTGTGCTAACAACTAAGTTATAAAAGGGGACTAACACACAAAGGAAGGGCCCTGCCCGGAGAAGAGGTCACTGCGCTGGCACTCTGGGGGCTCGGACCCTAGCTCGAGCTAGACAATAAAACTCCTTTTGATAATTACAGCCTCGGTGACTCTGTCTCTCTGTCCTGCGGCCTTGTGAATCTCGAATATAACACTTCCAGAGTTCAAAATGACTACCAAAATTGAGGGGTTGGTATATTGGGCAATCTTCATGTTGTGCGGCAGTAATTCTAGTTAAGGCTTCTCATACTAAACATTTTATAGTATTTGAGTAAGTGGTAGCTGCTCTCTGAATCTCCCCTTTTTTAGCATAGAATCAGCTTCTTAACGAGTATATTTGTGCAATGAAAATTGTTACTGTCTTTTAACAGCAAGTGGAACACCTCTCCCATTTATCAAAAAGGTAGCTCATCATTTGGTGGATGAGCTGTGTGCTCAGGTGGTTATTTAAGTGAGACAGCCTATTAGTCAAAAGTGCCTCTAAAAAAAATTACCTGTCAGCTATGTAAATTTAGAATCCTGTATGACCTGATGGGTTAATTGGCCGAGAGATGATGAGGCTGTATTGATTTTTCTACGTAGGCCAGCTATTATTGCTGCTTTCTGTGGTAAAAGGCTATGAGCATTTTGGTTTTCAAATGTGGTAAACTGCAATTGTGGGGGTAGGAGAGAAGCCTTTAAAGTGTACCCCATGCCCAGTAGTGGGATTGGGCTTCTCTGTGTGTGACATTCTCACAGGACTTCTTAGAGAAATACCAGGTTGAAGTAGAAGCTGTTTTTGACAGCTGACTTTCATACAGAATCTCTTACATTGCATTATCTTTGAAGGATTAGTCATAATTACTTGAGTGTAATGATAGAACATTTGGTTTTTTAAATTATCATTTTCTTACCTTTGGAAAAAATCCTGAGATTCACTGAAATGTAGTTAATTCTTAAAAAGTATGCTACTCTATTTAATGTAGTGATAGTGACAGTATGATAATCAAAGGTGGTAAGTGGAGTCAATTATATAGGCATGACCTCTAGTACTGTATGTCCCTCTCTTCTGAGCTTCACCCTTAACTTTCCAACTGTCTGATAGAACTGTTTGGATATTAGCTATTATAATGCTGGATATTTTACTACCACCCTAAATTCATCGTGTTCCAAACCACTCAATTTCCAATCCCAAGTACGTCCCTCTGCTGTTCATTGTTTTTTACCAGCAATACCATCTTCCTGGTTTCACATTGCTGCCCTTACGAGCATACTCCATTTTATTGTATTTCGCAGACACTGCATTTTCCGTGAATTGAAGATTTGTGGCAACCCTGTGTCACCATCAGCGTGTGCTCACTTCATGTTTGTGTGTCACATTTTGGTACTTTTTGTAATATTTAAACTTTTTCATTATTGTTAAATCTCTTATGGTGATCTGTGATCTTTGCTGTTACTATTGTAATTGTTTTGGGATGCCAAGAACTATGCCCATATAATGGTGAATTTAACCAGTAAGTATTGCATATGTTTTGATTGCTTCACTTCCTGGCCATTCCCACATCTCTCTCCCTCTCATTAAGCCTCTCTATTCCCTGAGATACAGCAATATTGGAAGTAGGCCAATTAATAATCCAACAATGGCCTGTCTAGGTGTTCAAATGAAAGGAAAAGTCATGTATTTCTCACTTTAAATCAAAAGCTAGAAATTATTAAGTTTGTGACAAAGGCATGTCAAAAGCCAAGATAGGCCGAAAGCTAGGCCTCTTGTGCCAAACTTTATAACTGAAAGATGGCAATAGATTCTTCCTGTGTTCAAAATTACTACCAAAATTTGAGGATTTTGTATATTGAATTATGAATTTAAAGGAAAAGTTATGAATTCAAAGGAAAAGTAGAAGGAAGTTAGAAGTGCTACTCTAGTGAACATACAAACACTAAGAAAAATAGCCTTGCTGACAGATAAGTTTTAGTGGTCTGGATAGAAGGTCAAAACAGCCACAATATTCTTGAAGCCAAAGCCTAATCCAGAGCAAGGCCTTAGCTAACTCACTTCAATTCTATGAATGCTGAGAGAGGTGAGGAAGTTACAGAAGAAAAGTTGGAAGCTAGCAGAGGTTGGTTCACGGGGTTTCAGGAAAGAAGACGTATCTGACAT